GGGTTGGCGTCAGAGGGTGAATTGTCAAAAAGACCTTAAGCTTATAGTGCCTAAACGACTTAATATACATAACCGTGCGATATGTCATATGACAGGATTTAGAGAATATAATATGATGACGAAGAAATATCAAACATGGTAGCATTCCAAAAGGGCTTTAGACACATATCTTTGCCACTATTGGGACAATCGTGACGTCCGAGGTATTATAATATGACAAAATTTATGTAATAGAATATAATGACAACGAAAAATCAATTATAGCAACATGCCATAAAGATCTTAAGCTTATTTTAATTCAAATTAGGCTAAATGTATTTTGAATAACACAATAACAAATTTAAGGACTCATTTTCAAAAATTACTTAAATTAGAAGTTTGTTATACTGTTAGTATTACACATAAAAATCAACTTTTGAGCTCAAGAGGCACTGCCACAATATTTATTATTACTAAATTGATCGATTAATTCAAATTTAATAAGAAAAAATGTATACTTAGAGAATCGGAACACGTTTAAAGGGAATATAAATTTTATATCTATACAGAAACAATGAGCAGAGAATTGATGTAAATATGAATTTAAATTTATTTATAAATAAAAAAAAATACTTAGCTCATTGGAACAAAAGTTACGTTTCAATTTTATATTTAACAAATTTCACGAGCAATTAACTTCAAAATATTTTAAATTAGTTTTGAAAGTTTTGAAAAAGAAATACAATAGATGATCTATAATTTCTATTTAAAGATCAAGTCTTTTATAGAATGATATATTGTTTAATTTAAATAATATAAAAAATTGTTTAAAATCCTTTATAAAAGGTATATAAAAAATGCCCCAAACGGGCTATCACAAACACATTGCAGAACGTTTTCGGATTGATAAATCCATCATCATTTTTTATATACCTTTTATAAAGGATTTTAAACAATTTTTTGTGATATATGGTATACAGCCAGCTACAGGAACTTAGTTTCCTAGTGGAATTTTAAATAATATGCAATTCTGCACACAATTTTATTATAACGGTTGTTAAATTAATAAAGTTTTATACCAAAATCCTTATATACACAGAGAGCATGTTTTGTTGAATCATTCTTACAGAAATCCTCTCCGCTTTTTAGTAAAGAATAAAGCTGTTTCTGTTTTCTCTTTTATATATTATACTTATAACTACAAAAGAAAGCATAATTATATATATATATATATATATATATTATATATATATATATATATATATATATATATATATATATATATATATATATTATATATATAACAATTCTATTTTCTAGTCACTTAATATTTCACCAACTGATTGTTGGCTTGCCCTTCGTTAATAATCTAACAAATAAGATTACAGCCCTCCTCAAACCATATAATAACATCAGAATTGCTAGATACAGTGGTATTAGTAACAAAATTCTATTTTCTCGTGTCAAAGATAACACACCAATAATGTATACTACCAATACAATATATAAAATTCCATGTTTAGGCTGCGAAGGTTGCTATATTGGACAGACAAGCCAATGGTTAAAACAACGTATTACCCAACACAAGTGACTGAAATAACTGCCGGTTGTCGAACACTCCATCAATACAGGTCACAAATTTGACTATACCAATGTTAAAATCCTACAAACAGCAACTAATTATAAAAACAGGCTATTTCTGGAAATGTGTTATATTACTAAAACAAAAAATGTAATAAATTATAAAGCAGATACGAATCAACTAAGTAGCATCTACAGCAAGATTCTGCAATTCATTTAATTCAATATTCATTTACGACATACTTGCTACCTTATTTTTTATAAATATAAATTAAAGAAACTCGTCTAGTCCACTATACACTTTTTGTTATTTTATGTGTATATTAACTTATTTTGAAAATTGTTAGTCTAATTTTGAAGATGTTAAACAAATGTTTGTCATGTCTTTTGTTGTGAAGTTCTATCTCTGTAAGTAAATATTTATGTAATTTTAGCGTAATGTTGCTTAACTCCTTGTTTTGATCTGAGAAGGACATTGGCTTTTTAAGTAAAGACCTTTTTCAAAAGAACAAAAAAAAATCAAGGACTGTTGAAGATCGGTGAAGGACAAATGCGCCCCTTTAGCAACGGCCGGAGTATACCGAATACCATGCACATGTGGAATGGTATACGTGGAAACCACGAAAAGACACAAACACAAGGATAAACGAACATAAAAGCCATTGTCGTTTAGAACATATCGATAAATCTGCCGTTGCCGAACACGCTTTGGGAAGCGGAGAACAACGGATACTGTTTGAAGAACCGCAGATGCTTGATAAAACATCAGTTATATCGGGAAGCGGTGGAAATATATAAGCATCCAAATAATTTTAATCGAATAGAAGGACTAAAAATTAACAAAACATGGATACCAATATTAAAATCCACTCTTGCTGAAAATCACGAAAAAAAGAAAAGCTACAAACGACCACATGCCCCCTCACCTCGAAACCATTGGAGGGGAGGCGGCGTCAGTTTCAGCTTACAACGCGGCGTCAGTTTCAGCTTACAAGCGAAGCAGTAACAACTCCAGAAGATGCCAACCCCTAATGTTGGCGACACGTCGAGAACTGATCTCAGGAGACAACGGCCTAACAGCCCGAACAATCAGTTTAACAAGTTAGACGATAGCCGCGCAAGCCTAACGCATTTTATGTGTATATATTATCTATTGTTGATCTTCCTTCTGTGAATCTACATTGATATTGCCCCACTCTCTTCTTTGTAATCTCTGACAATCTTCCTATTTGTTGGTCTCTCTCTTTTTATGTACTGTTATTACCTGCCCTATCAGAGAATCCCTAGAAATCAAGCAGATAATAGAACTGGAGAGATCAGGAATGACATATAGGTAAAATTAAGGGCAAATGTCTAAGAGGTGGTATGAAAGTTGAATATCTCAATAACATGAGAATGACAGTGTAGCGTTATAACTGCTACATTGCCTGCTTTCTTTCTTATGTTAATATATTTCGTTAATTATATTCTATAATTTCCATATCTTCTGTCATAATTCATATTCTTCTATATCCTCCATTGTATCTCTTATTTTTCTATATATTTTCTAGGATATAGATTGTATCAGAATTATGTCGTTACTTAATTGATTCATTATTCTCTTTTCATTCTTACTGGTATTTGGTATAAAAACCAGTTGGCGTCCAAATCTATCTCCTTTATATATATCTACAGTATTTCAGTATCTACCTCTCCTATTTTCTTAATAATCATCATTTTTATCTTTTACTCAAGTTTCTAAAGAGTAAATTTTATTTTCATCTCTATTTCTGTTACTTTGGAACGAGAGGTGCCATCTTTATTCTCTGCTTAGTTCAATGCTGTTGACATTTCCCCCTTCCCGTTCGATATAAAGACTTCTATTTTCTAAAAATGTCGATTTTCCTCATGACTTCTGTAAAAATATAATAACCAATTGTTGTGTCGTCTCCTGATTAAGGAGGTAGGAGTATGATATATTTTATCGATTTTTTGATTCTACCTGTTGTATAAAAATCTTTTTATAATTTTAACTTTGAAAATTCTAAGCTCATTATTTATGATTATGGTATGACATGTAAGTAGATACATATTTTGTGGATATTTCTTATGTTTTTTATTTTATATAAAAAACTAGCGATAAGAAATATATAGTTTCTTTAATATAGTATGTAAAAGTTTACGAATATGTTTCTAGTCTTAAATACTAATTTTAAATCCTTAATAATATCTTTTAATTTTAATAATAATTAACTTTTGACAAACTACCATTTCTATATAGAAATGTTTCTAAATTCTAAATTATCTAGCTTTTCAATAAATATATCTTGTCATTTTTTCCGAATTCACTTTTTTAATTAACATTAGAATATTTCAGTTGTAAAAAGTAATTACTATTTGCTTTAAAAATTATATATATATATATATATATATATATATATATAATATATATATATATATATATATATATATCCTTACTTTTACTTATTTGCCTATGATAAGTACATAAATAAGAATTGTTTCTCGACTTGCTTGGGTGAATAATGATAAAATTTTGTTAAATTTGATTGGTCACCTTTTCATACCGCAAGCAAGGTCTCTCATTTTGGTTTCACCATTTTCTGAAGCAAGGTGTGTTTTTCTTCATTTTAGTCAACCTCCGGGATACATTTCTCAGGTGCGGGTCACATTCTTTTAACATCCAGAAGACCAACCGGCCTGAGAATGGCACCATCATTCCGATAGGAGAGTTGACTCCGGGGCAAAAAAATCCACAACTAACAACATGGCTTGCTAACAACCATAGCAGAAAAGACCAGGATAAAACCTAGGATTTGGTGACAAACATTGTTCTTTAATATAATGTAACACTGTGGCAAGAAGTTGAATAATTTTTATTTAAATTCAATACTATATTTAAACATTTATTTGTCTGTTTTTTTTATATTTTAATAAACATGTGTTAATTTAACTGTGTATTGTTTCTTCTTTTTACTTGTTTGTGTGTGTTGCTCCAGAGTAGGCCATATTCACGTCCTGAGTGAGCTAGCCAGGGAGTGTTTCGCATAACATCTAATGTAGCAATTTTGCAATTGATACATTAGGGGATATAGCGTTGAAAATTGGTCCCAACAGGGACTCTCCCAACGTTGTTAGTGATGTTAGTCAGGTTGTAGCAGCAAACTAAGGTTTGCGGTTACAAGGTGACAACAGCAGCTCAACGTTGGGATGTTACAAATTGAGCCACGAAGGGTTACAAATTGGCATCCAATGAATATTCGTTGGCATGTCATAGATTGATGTCCAATGAATGTTCGTTGGAACGTTACAACAGGACACCATATCATGGCACAATTAAAGAATTCAATATGTAAAAAAGCAATCGTTTTCAGTGGTTCACCTGGTTTTTTTTCTTGTAATAGTGAGTGTCACCAACAAACCGAATAAATATTAGTCATGTTAGTGAAAAGAATTTATTCGTAAAAAGCCTTACATACCTTTATTTACAACAAACTACAATCCATCATTTAAGTGTTTCTATACACAGAATTGATGCTAAACATTACATAGTTGAAGCATATCGAAATACTCTTGAATACATTCATAATCAATTATACCTAAAAAATTAACTTACATGGTAAACACTTTCACTTTTGTACTCAGTTGGTCCAGTAGTATGCTATGTTTTAAATTTTGATTTTTGTGTATTATTTCACATAATTATTATTGAAGATTATTGTTTTAAAAAGCGACATCGCTTTATTATTATTCAAAGATCGAATATGGAACATGATATGGAATGTTTTTAGTCAACCCCTTAAGTATACCAGAATTTGGTTTAGACAGTTTGCCTCATTGAGTTTGACAATTTAGGTGAAGCAGCCAGTTTTACAGGCTAAAGTTTCAATACTAGATGCCATTGGTATTTTCAGACTTTTTTCTCAAGATGAATTTAGCAGTCAATGACAACTATTGTAGCCAAAATAAATGCAGCTAAGTTTTCCAAGAAAAGGTAAAAAGACAGTTATTGTCAACTAGGAATATCAAATTATTTTAACCAAGGTATTATTTACAATAGATTCAGACCCTAAGAATGATTCAAGAAAAAGCTTGAGCAAGGAACAATTAATGGGAGTGTTCAAGAAAATTGATCCCAAAGCATGAAACAGTAGGCTAAAATAGGTGAAACAAAAACAAAGTACAGACAGTCAAAAGGACACCTGATAATAAAAATAATATCCTGGCAATATTAATATTGCCTGTGGCAATTGTACATCATCATCTTTGGCTCGACAATCCTCTGTGGATCTTGGCCTGCTCTAAGATTCGTCGCCATTCTGTTCGGTTTTTGGCAACATGTTGCCATCTTCTGATTTTTAATATTCGTAAGTCGGTTTCTACTCCATCTAACCACCTAATTCGCGGTCGGCCTTTACTTCTTTTTCCTACAGGTGTTCCTGTGGTTAGCTTTTTAGCAATTTATTTTCTGGCATTCGTATTATGTGTCCAGCCCATCTAAGTCGCTGTGTTTTAATGAACGTTATGACATCTGGCTCATCGACAGTCAAAAGGACACCTGATAATAAAAATAATATGGAGGAGAGAGAAAAATAATGAGGAAAGTATGTGGTCTAGTTCAAGAGGAGGACATCACTTGGAGAATCAGAAGAAACTATCAGATTAATTAATTGAATGAAGAGAATGATGTTTTATGTATTTTGTAGAGATTCTAAGCTAGAACATGTCCAGAGACAAAACAATATAAAAGCATCATTGGCGATGTCAAACGAAAGAGGCGGCACGGTGCGGTAAAATTTTGAACTAGTGCATGTAGGATAACAAAACATTTTGTATTTAGTTATACACACATAACACAGTTATAAACATTTTAAATATTATTAAATAAAGCACACTAAGGTAACAAAATGTTAAAAAGTAAATGTAAACTGTATTGCTCTGCACCGCAATGCAGTAATTATCGATTGGAAGGAATAAGTATGCACTTTTTCCTGGTGACAAAAATCTACAAGATCGTTGGGCACAGGAATTAAAAATTGGGAAATCGATATCAAGTGATATGGTGGTGTGTTCACAACATTTTTTATCAATAGATTTTTTTTTCAAGTAAATTTTCTGAACAGAATTGCAACATTTATTATATATAATGTGCCTACCTAACCAAATATATACACTAACATAGATCTTAATTAAATTGTTTGTGCCGCAGGGCAAAAGAAACTTTCAAAGAAAGGTGTTGTTCCCTCTCAATGCCTTCTTGAAGGAAAACGAAAGAAAAACAATGAGGACCTGGTGAATGCCAGACTAATGCGTAATAAAACACACGCACATTCCTCACTGGCAGGCTTTACAAGTGCATTTTGCCACCCACACTCGTCTCTTAACACATCCACAGTGATTTCATGTGGGGCACAATTTAAATTAGTTATTTGCAGACACAAACCGACCAATTTGATATTATATTTGCTACACAACACAACGTGGCCAGCCTTAAACAAGGCCTTGCCTTCTTTTAAAGGTCTTTTTGTGTCTCCTATATATTTCAAAATATGGAGCAGACTAACAATTTCTTTATTTGCCATTGCATTAACAAAAAAAATAAATGGAAGATAATAAATACCGATAATTTTTAGACACAACAATCATTCACCTACAAAGATTATGGTAGCTCTGTTTTGTTTTCCTACATGCATGATCAGCTGATCATCTGTCAAAGCGCCCCCTGTAGTTCGTTGACATTGCCAATAGAAAATGTTATGATGGAATCCTACAGAAAGATTAAAAAATAACAACTATGAATATAAGATAATGAAAAAGAAGGGCACAAGAGAAGTCTGAATGCAAGAACATAGCTAGACAGGAAAAGACACTGTGTAATTCAACACTGTAAAAAAACAATAATGCTGTCTACTATTCCACTTCTGATTATGAAACCAACCAAATTAAATTGAGCTAAATTGTCAACTAGGAATGTCAAATCCAACACTTCACACTTTCTAAACTGAATTCTAGACTTGTTAAGGGCTCAACCAAAAATATGAATTTACTGAATGTAAAGACAAACTGGGTTACATTTTCTGCATTCTGGATATAATTATAGATGGAACATGAAACATAAAAATAGTATGGCTGTGTTTACAAAATAGTGAATTCTAGTTTTTATCAACTTTTGAAGTAAAAGATTTTGCTCTTTTATCAAACTAAATTTGCTTCATTGCATTATTTCATAAGAAATATCTAAAACTAAGATACAATTAATCTGTCATTTTTAAATAATACAATCAGATATTTATTATTGAGATAAATAGCAAAACAATTGTATTTAAAGATACCATTAATCTGAAACTTTTAAATAATAAAATCAGATGGTTATTATATTACTATAGAGATAAATAATAGGAAAAAACAATAGTATTTAGTATATAAGTAAGACTGAAAATGTATCCAAGAGATACATACAAAATATTTTATTTCACTGTTAACTTTTGATTTAAAATGTCTAGCAGAACTTTCTTAAGTGTGTGCATTGGCACTCCCATTTTTCTTTTCTGGATCTTTTACTTACTTACTAAAACAACTAGTAACCATCAAAGGAGTAGTAGTTTCAGTGATTATTTTTGGGCACAGAATAAAAAGATATAGTTATGAATGTTTTGTGAAACTGGACAAATACTTGATAAATCTAATGCATTCTGTTTTTGCAAGGAAATAACAAGTTGTAAAGAATTATCGCATTTAGAAACAAGCTGCAACTATTGTAAAAAAAAAATAGATAAGCAGTAATTCAGAAAAACAAAATTTTGTCTTAACTGCACTATTCCATGGTATTTAATGAAATAGTTGTTTCATAAGAATTGCTCTCTGGTCTCTGATTATACTACTGCCTGCATAAAATAATTTTAAGAACTGTTTTTGTGGATCCTCAATCCATTTCATCCTCAAGCTCTAGCAGAATTTACTTCATAAGAAGAGAGTCCAATAGAACTTACTTCTGACAACAGCCTAAAAACACAATTAACTTGTTTTGGTTTAGTAGAGTAGTAGTAGATTAGATCTATTAAAAATGAATATATAATTATTCAAAAGCTGAAATAATCTTCCATCAATTTACAATATTCCACTTATAGAGAGCTGAAATGTAGACTTTGACTGATATAATAAAGAGCATCTATTGTTCAATGTGGAATAAGAAATAGGAAAGCAGAATCGAGCATTAGTCCACTATCTGAACAAATATATCAAAATCAGCAGGCTCATCCACCACCCTTTCATTGAACATATCTTTTTATATCTTATTTTATCAATTTCCCTATACTTTCATGCTGTCAATTTTAATATAATAAATATCTAATATACTGCAGCATTTTTTTCATTTCTGTACCTGAATAATTATATATATTGTATACATATTCAGACAATAGTACAGAGAAAATATATTGGAGCTGTAACTGAGCAGAAAACAATTTTGAGAATACCACTCTAGAGTTTCAGCCTCTTTAGCTCACACTAGATAAAAACAGTACATAAAATACCTACTCTATTATTAGAGCTTACATCTTGATCCTTTTATACCACATAATTACTTAAATTCCTAGTATATAACACAAAAAGAGAAGCTTCAGTAACAAACATTAAATTTACAGTAAACATAAAAGAACTGATTATTAGATTTAAACTAAATATTTAATAAACAAAATAGTTCTACCAGATATTTCCTACTAGGAACCATTATTCACACTAAGCGTAAAATAAAAAATGCTGGTATTTAATACAAAACATAGCCTTATAGTGAAAGTGTTTTCATTAACTATTTGATAATTTTTGCATCTTCTAGACTGAAAATTGAAACTAAAGCTTAATAATTATTAAGGCTCCAGTAGTGGATATATACATAAAAATACTTGATAGATCCTCTCCATAATGGCCCACTACAATGACAACCATGAGTATAGACTTTGGCTGGAGCCGTTTTCTATCTACAACCACTTATCAACAAAGGGCCATTTAATGGCAAGTTTGTTTATTTCTTGTTATTTCCTTACAAAAGAATGGATACTGATTATGTTGCTATATAACCAAACACAATTTAAGCATTAATTGAATAATCTTCCAAAATATGCCATTGTAGGGACAAACTGAAGTAGGAACACACAATTTACTTTTTGTATGCTACCCAAATATGAAGTGGGATCTGAAAAACCATCACTGGCCATTCTATTGTCACTATCATCACACCATCTTCTATTGTGTGCCAACTTACCATCATCACGTTGGTGATAGTTTATACAATGCCTTAAATACAGGAATTCTGTTGGTAGATATTAGGTATACAATTATGAAGTATAAAATAAGATGTAATAATAAAAATCAAATATACACTATTGAATAACAATGAAGGTTGTGATCAAAATTTAAGAAAACTAAATCAATTATTTTAAAAAGTTCTCTCATTAGCAATATTTTATACAACTGTATGGTAACAAACATAAGAATTCTACTTTGATCTATAAATTAAATAAACATAACATACACTAGTAAATGTAAAATTATTATGTTTTTTACCCATATTTATTTGGAGCACAATTAATTGTCCATAGCATATCGTCGTGTCCATTCCTTTGCATTTCTAATTGCTTCTGATTCATTTATTTTCCATAGTTCTGCAACATCATTAGCTAATGGATCATCTGGATTTGGAGCACTAAGTAAGGCCTGTATGGACAATAAAACTGTACGAATTTGTAGAGCTGGACTCCACTTATCTTTTAGAATGTCAAGGCATATTCTACCAAGTCTATCGATGTTAGGATGATATATTTTAGTTATAAATCTTACTTTAGGTGCAGACATGGGGTAATCTTCAGGAAGAAATAATTCTAGTTTAAAAAGCCCCCCTTCGAATGGGGAATCTTCGGGGCCCGTTACGATAACGTGAAAATACCGAGCGTTACTATCATCCGGTACAGCACTAATTCCTGGGACAGGTTCAGCCATTAAACGCTGAGTTTCTTTAATTATTCTGCGTGGAAGGGCTGCCATTTTTTACTTATCAGTGTCGATAATTTTATTATTTTGGTGTCCACAAATTATAGCACTAGAACATAAAATCCTATCTGTATGAATCGGCACTTCGTCTAACACAATTATTCTTTCATTATTTACCTAAATCTACTTTTATCTAACAACGACGGCTGATCATGAAATCAGACATATCTACCGACGTTTTCATTGTGCTTCCTATAGGCCGAGAACTATCGATAACAATATCGATTCTCTCGATGATTTTTACTGTTCACCACCATCAACATTAATAGGTTTCACTCCTTTCATTTACCCAAAATTATGCAGTCACGATATTCTTCCTCATGTAACGCGTTTTCTTTAAAAAACATTTTCCCATAAACTATTCTATTTATTATCTACTATTTACTAATTAATAATTAAACAAGTTGTTATTTCTAATTTAATCATTTTAAAATTTGTAAACTTAAATATTAATTCAATTAAAACTACCTTTTTTGTAGGGAACGTAAATGTTTAAATTTCTTATTTTTGTAGTGAATAAAATGAATTTTTAATTATTCGTAATGTTCGATAGTCACCTTTTGAATATCTATAAGTATCGATAATCCTGGCTATCGATAGTTTGCGATTCCCAATCCTACGGCGATTTTGAGAAAAACGCGCAGGTTTGAAATATTAGTAGAGGCGCCATATTTGAAAATCGTTTCAAAATATATTTAATAAAGTCAAATTATAAATTATTCAGACATAATTATTTTTTATTTTGTAAAATATTGCTTTGTAATACAATTATAAATAATTAAATATTATAATATTCTTTTATACTTGTGGACAAGTATCAACTTATTAGTTATTAGAGGATTAAAATGTGATATGGTTTGAATGTTTTTTATTATTAACATAGACAGAGTCGTATTGACGCGTTATCTTTATTGTTACCAATTTGAGATTACTTTGTGTGTCACTAAATAAGCTGTCTTTGGAAAAATCGTATTCCTAATTAGATTTTTTTCTATACATTTCTACATGTATTAATTTTTAATTAGATCCAGATGTTCTATCAAAGTCTGTGGTATGTCCATTTTACTATGTACTTTATTTCATAGTCGTATCTACCATTTTCTCTCAATGTACATCCGGTATTATGACCCTATCAAGGCAAAATATGGATTGTGAAATCTGAAATGATCTGTTGGTAAAATATAACGGTTTTAAGACCATAATTACTTATGCTGCGCTGGTTTGGTGAAACAAAAAACGCAGCAAAAACCAATAATCGAGTTGTGCAAAGACTTGCTTGCATAGGAATAAGGGATGCAGGAAGATCGTGCCTCACTGCAGCCTTTCCCCTCTCTATATACATGCAAGTAGGATTGTGTTAAAAAATGCCTTTTGGCTAACACGGACACATACTAGTATATAAAACCCGGTGACCTAACTAGGTATCTGGAAATTGTAGGAACAAGGGTAGGAAGGGTAGGAACAAGGAACAACACAATCAATGTAGATGCCGACAGGGACTACATCTGCAAGGCAATATTTTAAATTCTCACTAAACTAAATGTCATCAACAAAAAAACAACTCGTTAAAATCACCAGATTTCAAATCAGGTATTATACCGATGGGTCTAAACTACATAAAGAAGTGGTAATACGAGCCCTAATAACTATATGTTGGAACAAGCAGTTATTTTGCAAATAAAATACCAATTTATTGAAATTGTTTTATGTTAATTTTTTTAATTGTAAATATGAAATTAACTACATTTTTTTGTTGATTACTATTTAATTAGTTGTTTAATAGCCAAAACTTGCTGACAACTAAATGTTGGAACAAGACGATTTTAACATATTAAAATAAATATTAATAATTTGTAACGTCGCCCTTAAATTAAAAACAGCCTGAACTCTATTAGGGATTGTACCAACTAGGCCTTCACAGAATTCAGGGGTGAAACTATCTCACATTTCTTGTAATTACTACAAAGTACCTCCATTGGATTAACATTCGGGTTACTAGAAGGATTTGACAAAACTTTATTGTCATGTTATCCCAATCATATTTGGTAGATTTATCTGTATGGTAGGAGGCTCCGTCCTGTGAAAGATAAAATCTCCAAATGGATATAACTATGCCGCACTTGGCACAGGCCAATATTCAAGGATATATTGATATTTAGCTGCGTGTACTATGACCTCAATAAAATGTAATGTTCTTAACTCTTTGGCCTATATACAACCCCACCATGATGCCCTGTGGAATCTTTACAGTTCTTTAGAGAAAATCCTTATGGGATGCTTCTCTAATTACACTTTTTGTCGAATCACACTCTTTCGATAATGCAAAGAAGAACCTATCAACCATACCTTATAAAAACTAAGACCGCTTTTGTGGATATATTTGTAACAGGATTCTCTGGAAACATTCATCCCACTTTCTCTATTATTTCTAACGGTTATTTCTCGTAGTGTATTTCTCCTTTCCGACTTACAATAATTCGAATTAAATGCACTCCTTTGAGAAACAGCTTCTGGAGGGCCTGAGCTTTTTCTGCAAACATCAATACTGGCAGTTTCACCATACTTATTAATTATACTAAACACCGTAGTTGTTGCTACAGTCAATTCACTGGAAATTTCACGCATTGTTTTCCTTTCATGGAAATAATGAATAATAATTTCTCGAACTTTTGGATAAGTAGGGTTTCCACGTTCCATTATTATATTTTACTCGTAATAAAACTGACAGTTGTCTTTATTCATACTCAAATGAGCCATGGCAATTATTGTTGACGACGCCCTACCTACTCGTATGTTTGATTTCAAAGCCTTCTTTGTGTCAGGCTGATAAAATTTAAGAAACGTGAGGAAATGCAAAAGATGTTCCAACATTTAATTGTCAACAGTTTTCGATTATCAAATAATTATTTACATAGTATTCAATATAAAATATACAATTAAGCCGCAAAAATTATTCCATACATCATAAAAAATGTTGTTAATTTCATATTCATAATTAAAAAAAAAAAATAATACAAGAATTTTGGTAAATTGGTATTACAGGGTGAGTCATAACTACTGGAACATAGACTGAGGACAGGTTATTTGGACCAAAATATGGCTATTGGGCCAAATATACCTTAATAAAATGTTGCTGAGAAAAAAGATACAGGGTGTTAAAGTTAATTTTTGTTTTTCGTTTTTTGCTAATAGTTTCCCTGTATATTTATAAATTGCTATTAAAATTGGCACAGAGGCATAATCTTAGACAAGAAATAGTATTTTATTTACAATTTCACTACCAAATACCAAACTAATAAAAAAGTTGCAACTAACGTAGGGTTTCCGTTTTGACGATAAATCAAAACTAAACACACTTTAACTTAAAAGAATTCACAAAAACTCAAACTAAATGTTCTACATGGTCTCCTCGGATTTCTATGCCTTTTCTAAGTATTTTTATAAAGGATTTTCGGACGTTAAAAAAAATATTACTCTGTCCCCTTATAAAAAGGATTTCATATGTGCCCAAAAATAAAAATCTAGCGGGTTGTACTCAGGAATTCTTGATGGCCATTGAAAATAACTGCCTCTGCCAATCCATCGTTGAGGAAATACGTCATTAAGATGATTTCTAACAGCTAATGAAACATGAGGTGGCGCTACATCCTGCATAAACCACATTTTTCTTCTTACATCCAGTGACAGATCATCTAAAATATCACTAAGATTAATTTCCAAAAAAATAAATAGGAATCTCCATTTAAATTCGGAAGAAGAACATAAGGCCCTAGTAGTTGGTCGCCTATAATACCACACCAAATATTCAATTTCAACTCATGCTGAAAATGTCTAGCTTTAATAGCATGCGGGCTTTCTTCTTCCCAATAATGACCATTTCGCCAATTAAAAACCCCTTGTCTGGTAAAAGTTGCTTCGTCGGTGAACATAATATTCTTAATAAAGTGTCTGTCATTGCGATGTTTAATTAGAATACGTTGGCAAAACTGTAACCATCGTGGAAGATCTGTTGGAAGTAAATTTTGAACAGGAGTGAAGTAATAAGGATGACTACTGACTTACTTCTGTTGTTGCTGATAGATGTGGTGAACTTATTTCAGAATTTCCATCTACTCGAACCAAAAGTTCATCTTTTTGATTAGGTGTGATTTGTTTCGGTCGACCACCCCGATTTTTAGTGTGAAATGACCCAGTTTCACCTAAACTACGATATAATCTTACAAAAGTTTTGTGATTTGGTTGCCTTCTGTTTGCGTATAACATTCCATACCTTCTGGCTGCCGAGCGACCGCAAAATTTTTCTTGTGCGTATACGCAAATCATATCTCGCATTTCTTCATTAGTAAAATGATTGTGACGAGGCATTCCAATAAAAAAAAAGTAATGATTACTTTTAAAAAATGCAACATTACACTACACTGTCACATCAAAAATAATTTACTATGAACAACTGACATTTACCAACAAACAATTATCTGACAGTCCAAAGCATACTTTTCATAAATGAAATAATATTTGAAATCCTTTTTTAAGACTCTAAGCAGTTCGACTGCGTTTTTAACGAAAACGGTTGAAATTATCATGTTTAAACAGGAGTATAAATTTTACATAAAAATGTTGTTTACGTCATATTTTCTAATAAAAATAACTAAAAAGTTTCATCAGAAAAAGTTTAGACTCAATTTGATCATTAGGAATGATCAACGTGGCGCCCCCTATGGCAAAACGTAAAATTGTTAATAAAATACTATTTCTTGTCTAAGATTATGCCTCTGTGCCAATTTTAATAGCAATTTATAAATATACAGAGAAACTATTAGCAAACAACGAAAAACAAAAATTAACTTTAACATCTTGTATCTTTTTTCCCAGCAACATATTATCAAGGCATATTTGGCCCAATAGCCATATTTTGGTCCAAATAACCTGTCCTTAGTCTATGTCCCAATAGTTATGACTCACCCTGATATTCGCAAAATAACTGCTTGTTCCAACATATAGTTGTTGGGACTTAGTGCTTTATATTCCTAGCACTAACCTATTATTAACTTTAAGGTAGTATTACCGTATAGAATGCTAAAAAATAACACATTTTTAACATGATTATTATCATATTTATTAAGTACATATGGCAATTAAACTTTTTTTATATTATAGAACTTTGGAAGAT